CGTCCACTTGCCCAGCCAGACCCAGCGAAGCGCTTCCCGCCAAAGTTACAAACAACCCCAAAAACTAAATTAAAAATAAATTAAAAACAATACAACAAAAAAAAATAATAAATCAACTTGAAAGTACAGAAAAAATAAGCCACCATAAAAACAACAAATAGCGTGTGTGTGTGTGTGTGTTGGTGTGGCTGTGTCAACAGGTGCCGCTTGTCCACATCGCAGCCCCGCGCCATGGTGGGAGCACGACTGGCCGCACACACACACACACACACACACAGAGAGAGAGAAGCGGGAATCGCTACGCGGGTTGCAGCACACCCCGCATGTGCTTATTATTCCCGCGCGGCAAGACTACCAGCACCGCTATGCAGGCAACAATGATAGCCCCAACGGCAAAGCAGCCAAGCGCGATGCCGGCTGTCGCACCGGCGCTCACTGTCTTCTTGCAGCTTCCACCATCCCCGGCAACGTTCGCCCCGCCCCGTCCCATGCAAGATGCGGAGCTACACACGCACTGCAATGTGACCGGCTCCAGCGTGTGCCCGGCCCTGCACGACGATGCAGGGCACGCCAACCGGTAGGCCTGGCAATGACTGTTGAGGGCCCCTCCCCCCTGCGTCGGGCAGCCTAACAAGGCCTTGTAACGATCGTTGAGGTGGCACAGACCCGCGGGGTCCGTTGGCCTGCTGGAATCCACCAGCCGCAGGAAGTCGTCGTAGGGGCAGGTGTTGTTCCTGGCCTTGTAAACCTTGCCACCGCTGGTCATGCACTTCAGCTGGAACCCATCCCAGCTGAAGGCGTACTCCGTATCGGGCGTCTGCCCAGGAGACCCGCGCATCACCCGCATGCTGTAGGCATTGGCCTCATCATCGTACAACAGTTCAAAGGCGTACAGCTGGGCGAAGGGCGGGAGCACAGCTTCGGGCGTGTCATCAGCGAGTGTCGCTGCCAGCGGACTGAGAGTTATGTCGTGGGTGCTGTAGTGGTACAACTTGTAGGTGGATTTCCCCAGCATGTGCAGCTGAGCATTCGCCAGAAGCTGCTGCATCAGGAGCTGGCCGCAGCTGCCCAGCTTCCTCCTCTCCTCGTCCGATTTGTTGTAGCTGTATTCAGTACGAAAATAAAACTCCGCAAAAGAGCGCAGCTTTTCCAGGTTTGCCTTCAGCAAGGGAAACTTCTCAATCCGCCCAACGGCCTCCAGAGCAGCACCGATGTCAAACAATTTGAATGCACAGTCGGACCGCTTCGCCGGGTTCGCGCAGGCCTCCTCACTGAACGCCTCCCCGGCAACGGCCTGCAGAGTGGGGAGGTCAATGATTTCATCAACCTTCGGGCTGCCCACCTCGCGTTTCCAGAGGTTGTCCAAAAGATAAAACACTCTTGTATATGGAATGACATCGGTTCGCAAGAGCCAGTCAGTAGTCTTATTGACCGTGTGAATGACAGGGAAGGCCGTGCTCCTGTTGGGGAAGAGACCGTACAAGAAGGCCGCGGCGCTCTGAAGTGTACGCGGCACGTCGGTGGAGCGGCTGTAGGACACGCTGGGGTCGTAGTTCTCTGAGGAGAAAAAGGGCTTCGCGGTGTTGCTGTTGTAGTGTTCACGCAGGAACTCTCCTGCCTTCAGGAGCATGGTCCGCCCGGCAGCGTTGAGGTACCCGCACGGGATGTCGCCGCATATTTGCGTTGTGTTGTACTTCACGATGGCCGACCGCGACCCGTGGCGGTGCACCACCTGCACGAGGCGAAGCGTCACCGCGGCGTCGCCGCCTCCGACGTGCAGCAGCAGCAGCAGCAGCGCCACCAGCCACACCGCCGCGGAGCGGGCCCAGCGCCACGTCCCTCCCACCGTCATTTTGCCCTCTTTCAATGGATACGAAATAACACGTTAGCCTCGGCGCCGTTCGCACCCCCTTGGCGAACCACTAAAGCTACACGGGCGGCAGAGAGGGGAAGAGGAGCAAAGCAAGAAAAAGTGAGCGACGCCGCACAGCAGCTCGCGCAACAATGCGGCAAAAGCAACGCAACGACAGCCTCTGGGACGCAGGCAAAATATTCATTCCCCACCAAATGGATCCGTTGTCATCATTCTCTAATGAATTATCAACAATCTTTTCCCTGCCTGCACACGCGTTTTATGGGCCACTTTTCCTGCCTCACGTGCGTTAGTGCCTTTGCTCTGTATCTTCAACAACTTTCAGACCTATTTCTACCAACAGGAAGAAATGACGTTGACGGTGGGCCGGGCATGGGCGTCCACTTGCCCAGCCAGACCCAGCGAAGCGCTTCCCGCCAAGTTCAACACCCCAAAATAATTAAAATAATTAAAACATCAAA